ACTAAGTGGAGAAAAGTATTTAGTTGAACTTTATTTTGATACATCTAGAATTTTTTTTTTTAAAGTGAAACCAAGCTGGTAAATAAAAGGATAACAATCAATAAAGATGAGAAGAATCTCACATTTTCGAAGGAGACACATTAAGTTTGTTTAATAACGAGTAAAAGCACACATATGTTTTGCGAGAAAAATACAGGCCCATAGCCAGGGGGATTCATAGGGTTCGGGCGAACCCCCCCCCTGGCCAAAAATTCTTCCAAAATCATGCAGTTTTTCACCATTTTGAGCACTTCTCAAGTGATTTTAGCCATATTTGGGCCAAAATTGTCATATGTGAACCCTCCCTGGAAATTTTTGAAAACTGAACCCCTCCTTGGCAAATCCTGGCTACGGGCCTGAAATATGAATGGATTTTTCTTTATATTGCACTGTGGTCTTTTAATTGTTAGGGGAAAACATCAACAAACAATTGATACAATGACTTTTCACATCTTATACAGGGTGTCAATTAAATATGTTCTCCCCTCAACTTAACATCTACATAATGTTGCAACTTTTTTTGTCTGCATGTTATCTGAATTTTTCTTTAGCACATTAAAACTAGGAATCACGGAGCGACTCTACACAAAGTTTCAGATGACTAGCTCAACTAGATGCACTTTTACACACAAAAACTTGTACTCTTGAAATTAAGGGGGGTGGGAATATTTATTTGACACCCTGTACATTGTCAAAATGCAGAGACGGCCTCATAGGAAAACAATGATTAGACATGTTGTACTTTACAAGATCAACATGTAGAGATGTCATTGTCCTTGGAGGAATTAAGGTTTGTTTATAATTGCTAAAAAGGATAGAGTGACCTTAGAGTAAAGTGATCCCAGAGTAAAGTGACCTTAAAGTTCTTGTTACTAGTTTACAACCTAAACAATTGACAAATAATGATATGTTTTATTTATTTCAGTTTCACAGAGTAAGAATTAAAGAGAAAACTAGAGGAAAAACAATTAATAAAATTTGAAAATCATCGCTGTTCTGTCTGTTATTCTTGTTTTTATATTGTGAAGTTCCAGCAACTTGAACCTGCAGCACTGATAGCTGGCCTTACCACCAGCGAGAAGATGTTACGCTGCCTGTATATGAGTATAACCGGTCCTCAGAAAGTTTCACCGGTTTTATAGAGTCTAGGATAAATAAAATTGTTTCTATTTTTACATAAACTGTTTCAATATGGTCATTTGATTGATTATTTTTTAAATTCAAAGTAGTAACAAACATTTCTGTTTTGACTGTATATATACAGGGTGAGCCAAAAAAGGTAAACCAAACTGATGTTAATAACTCCATCATCAAACATAAATTTGAACTCATACTTAGCACAATTAAAGCTTGTTCAATGTTCTTACTAAGTTTCATTCAGATCCGAATTTTCTTATCATGTTTTTATAGCCATTTTAAAAAACATGCTCAAAATGCAGAATAATCAAGCGATATGAATCCCCAAACTTTTATCTTTTGAGCTGTTCAAAGATATTGTCCATATTACATGTAACAACTCTAAATGCATGAGCATAGTGAGAGGGGGTTTGCGGGCATCATGCGAACTCCCATTCGCCTTCAAGCACAAACTAGAAATTTGCAATTACCAATCTACTGTTCGATTAAGTGGTTGATAAGAATAGAACATGTACATTTTCTTTCTCATTGTTTGCAATTGCCGAATGGTGACAGCTTATCTAGGGCGAAGGGGTGTAACGTCGACACCATTTTGGGGTAACTTCGACATGTGGGGTAACTTCGACACCTTGTTGTTTATTTGCTCTAATTTCCGATCTAGGGGGAAGCCATGTTTTTTTTCTCGCATGGATCTCGCGAGATTTTAATTTTTCCAGAAATCAAACATGGCGGAAAACAGAAATTCTACTTCTAATACATAAGTGTCGAAGTTACCCCGTCTATTATGTCGACATTACCCCACACGTCGACATTACACCCCTTTGCCCTAGATAAATTGAATTTTACTGACCTACTTACTTCCTATGTGTGTTCTCGAGAAATCTCATATGTAAGCTTAAATAAGCAAGTTGTGTGAAATTCCGAGAAGTCAAAACTCCAAGATATGGCAACCTCGTCTACAAATTAGGAGGTCAATCAGGAGGACTCCTTTAGGCCAAGGAACATGTATACAGATTATGCAAAATCAAAGTTTGTCCAGTCTCTTAGTAGCATAAGTAATTTTTACGTAAAGGCTAGAGTACCGACAATTGTCGGTACTCTAGCCTCTGATGTGGTGGCAAGCTAGGGGACCGACAAATAAATTGTCAGTACGGGAGATATGCTGTGTTTACACGCTAGAGGACCGACAAATATTGATTTTCGAATTTTCTGGCGCATGCGCAATGCGCGGGGGGATATTTCAGATATCATACGGATATTTTGGGAACAAGTGCAAAACCCGGGGAGGGCATTAGCCCCGGTTACCCGGGGATTACCAAACCCAGTCAAAAAATGGTAGCCCGGGAACAGGGAATGGTAGTAAACGTTGAAAACCCAATAAAAAACATGAACAAGTAAGACGTTAGAAAGCTATTAATGCAGAGAAAACGGCTATATATATTCTAAACAGACAGGATATTTCTCCTGAGCCGATCAGGCGTAGAAACGGGCGTTTGCTACCCATAAGGTAGAAGAAAATAGCTAGAATGTTTTTTATTTGAAGCTTATGGTATGAGGTTCCATATCCATCCGCCAAAAGGTATATAGTCCATTTAAAAACCTGTGGTATCTTTCTAAATAACCCATAGTTGGCTTCTAGGGTACCTAGTATGCCACTATTTGGTATCAAAATATAGAGGAGTTCAACTTTCATTTGAATTACGAAAATAGCGATGTAGGTCAAAATAGTTCCGAACGTGAGCATGTTTACTACGCGTTTGCCCGTCATATCAGAATTAAAGAAGTGGTAGCAAACGCGAGTTACAATAAACGGACGCTGATATCTCAAAAAGTAACCTGACTCCCTATAATTTGATGTAGGTCAATCGAACCCCTATATGGACAGGTGCATTTTGATATATAACACTATGGGGGGGGGGGTAAGCGTTTCATAGTTGGTCACGAACGCCATATGTGCAAAGTATTGTTATGAATTTTCGAATTTGGTGTTGGATTACGGTACTCATACCTTATAGCACAATTTTTGATGGAAGATGCATTTGGCTCCCTTAGTTAATGGCCACGATTCCATCTCGCATGAGAGAGCTACCAAACGCAAAGTAAACAGTGATATATTCCAAATGAGATATTTCTCCTGTGCCATGGCGTAGTAAGGGTAGAGAGCGACGGGGGTGAAAGCATCCCCTCCCCTAACTGTATATATCGACCCATTAGATAGAACAAGAAAAGAGCTTTAAAATGTTTTTTAATTGAAGCTTGTAAGACAATTTTGATGGAAGTTGAATCAATTTTTGTCTAAATAAATAATGGCTCACTACAAGTTAATGCCTGTGCGATTCCATACTGCAAAAGAAGCACTATGCCCCCCCCCCCCCTCAAAAGAAAAAAGTAGGTCCTGCCGGGACCGAGTGTGTTTGAGTTGTGCTCGCTAACCACGAGGCTACCAGTGATGGGGTTATAACTAAAAGTAAAAGTAGTCGATTTATTTATGAAATTGTCGGCTCTCTAGCAAAAACACGAAGTAGCCACTTGCGTACCGACAATTGTCGGTTCTCTATCTGGCACTACTAGGTGACGATAGAGTGCCGACAATTGTCGGTACCCCAGCAAATACCCATGGACAGTCTCCAGTACCGACAATTGTCGGTCCTGGAGCCACTCCGTAATTTTTAAGGGTTCATTAGTATTTCCTTGAATTCATTGTTATTATCAGGAGACTCTCGAAGTGAAAGTCAGGCTCTGATTGGATAGCATTATTATACATGTTTCTGGGCCTATGTAACACGCAGACGTGGAAAAAGTAGGTCAATAGAACCTTTTTCAAAATACGAATTCAGAGTTATATACCATTGCTCATTTTGCACTAAGCAATGCACGTGTAAATTATTCACTCATAAGCTTAATTAAATCCAAAACTTACCTTTAAAGCATCAGATTATCGGAATAATCGACATTTTATTGATGATTTTAGGACATTTTGCTTTTACGATTGTTTTTACTCCGCACTGAATAGAAATCTGGAGTTTAATTGGTCAGAGGTCGATCAACTTTAAAGTTGGAAAAACATGAATGTAATTTGATACTTTAATATATATTCTATCACATAGAAGATCAAATTATATCATTTGAAAATATTTGATTATCTAGGCCTATACTGATATGATCTTTCAAGAATGATTAGAATAATGATTGATCCCACATATCTGGCGTGTCATGAATTTTGAATTTAATGGCGGCTGTATTTTAACAAGAAAATGCAGCAAACTCCTCGAGTCGAGGTCTCCAAGTCAAAAAAAATCCTGACCCTCTCATATATCTGTTGATTATCCTGTTTATAACTGATTCAAGAGCGTGGCACTGAACGAACCTGTATGCCTATTTGTTATTTGTTTAGTTGTTGGTTGGGTAACATGTTTATGACGTCACAAATGATGCGAAGAATCTTTAAACCAATCAGTGAAGTATTTATTAATTGTTTGTTTAGTTGTTGATGTGGCAATACGTGTATGACGTCACAGGTGATTGCATCATATTCCAGTAACGCCATTTTACGACATTGCATAATTTTAGCTGATTTTGGCTTCATTTCACTTTATTTGAAAGACTTTTAAAAATATAATAATGAGTCAGTATTTTTTCTTATAAATATTAATATTTGAATTTGAGGTCAAAGTCCGAAAATTTGATCAACTGATTGAAATAACATTTTAAAGAGGTGAAGAAGTGAATAATTACAGGAGCAAACGTGATCAATGGTTCGAGGTCTCCCTCAAAGTAGTCGCTACGCTCCTACTTCGCGCTGCCTTCGGCAGAGGAGACCTCGAAACAAACAATTTTAGTGATTTTTGGGTAAGTCTTTTAAAATTTTCATTTTCATAATGTAAATACAATTAATAATTGTTCACAGCAACTCATGTCCAGATATCATAGCAGAATGTTACCTGAAAATACGTTGCTTTAGATTTTGAAAAGTGGTACAATTTTCACAGAATTATCCACAGATCTTGGCCAGATCTTACTCGAGTCTCTGGCCAAATTACTTAATGAAAATCAGGCGTGTCAAGTTGGGAACACCTAACATGAGTGACTTGGAAATGTTGAACACCTCCCCTCAAAATGTGGACACTTTGGTCCAAATCTGAGGTAAAGTCCTAGTATGTATCCAACAGACCGAATAATATTCGGTCTGTTATGATTGATATATTTCCTGTGGAAATTGCGGTGATATTTTTTGCACATTAATTTCTCGTTTATACCAAGAATGTTCACCTTGAAAATTGGTGAATATGTTGAAGAGATGTTCATCTTAAACTAGAAGCAAAAATATTTGTATAAGGCGGGTACAAGTTGATATAAAATAATGAAATGTTCAGACTCACCAAAACTTCAGGATGTGTTCATAAGTAGATCGCGAAATCAATGTCAAGGACGTTTGAGTTCACGAGATCCAAACGAGATATGCAAATTTTGAACTTTGACAACACATGACCACTTGATTACCTCGGCCTTCTTCATGAATATTTCCGCTCTATTTACTATAAATGAAGAAAATTAATCGGGATAATGATAATAAATGACTAGATCTAATAAATTCACGCACAAATGGAATTTATCAATACGCTTCCGTAATGTTGCTACGTCCGCTCCACGTGTTATTTGTTTACAAATAGACTGACGTCACTGGCTAAATCTCGTTTATCGTGAGAATTGGCATTGCCAAAATGGCTTGACCTAATCAATGGCTTGACCCAATCAATGGCTTCGCTACAAGAAGCGTCTGTATATTTTATGAATATCTTCAGTAAGAGGACAATATACGAAAAAATAATATTGTAAGTTCTTTATAAGGTAATCATTTTATCATTACACAAACTTATTTGTAACATTTATACAACACCACATTTTACAATAGGTGACTTACAGTCTGAATATTTATTCAGACGAAGGATACAGTCTAGGTAAAGTCCATTTCACTGCTTCATTTCGTCAGTAGAACGGCAAAAATAAGAAATTGGGAGACCATTGTGCAATAATATATGGAAAAGTATATTCATAATGTACATGAATGACATTTGTATATCTTGGATTGCTTCTAGAGTCCATTTCACTGCTTCATTTCGTCAGTAGAACGGCAAAAATAAGAAATTGGGAGACCATTGTGCAATAATATATGGAAAAGTATATTCATAATGTTCATGAATGACATTTGTATATTTCAGATTTTTTAGTTTTTTGTGCAATAAGCCTGTGCCGTCTTGTAATTTGAAGAATTTCAGCCATGTTAATCTTATTGAAAATAACATGGCAGAGAAACATCCAAATATAAGAGGCCACACACTTTATAAGCCAAACTAGAAGCAATCCAAGATATACAAATGTCATTCATGTACATTATGAATATACTTTTCCATATATTTTTGCACAATGGTCTCCCAATTTCTTATTTTTGCCGTTCTACTGACGAAATGAAGCAGTGAAATGGACTCTAGTTTGGCTTATAAAGTGTGTGGCCTCTTATATTTGGATGTTTCTCTGCCATGTTATTTTCAATAAAATTAACATGGCTGAAATTCTTCAAATTACAAGACGGCACAGGCTTATTGCACAAAAAACTAAAAAATCTGAAATATACAAATGTCATTCATGTACATTATGAATATACTTTTCCATATATTATTGCACAATGGTCTCCCAATTTCTTATTTTTGCCGTTCTACTGACGAAATGAAGCAGTGAAATGGACTTTAGGTACGAAAAATTTCGAATGGAATGCGTGACACATACGCGATCCACCTGAAAGTCTGAACGGAATGCATACGTTTTTTTTGGCATTCGTGTTTTTGCTGTATTGGCGAACTTTTTAAAAATATTTTCTACAGAAATATTTTGGCTTGACAATTACCAAGTAAAATGCTGATTTGCTTGACATTTTCTGTCACGCAAAAAAAACTTGTGTGACTTCAAATTCTTCAGCAAATGCGTGACAAATACGCCAATTGTGGGACAGTTGACAGGCCTGGATAATGTTTCATCAAATAGAATGTAAACGAATACTATCCTTTGTGAAATATTGCAAGCTTTTGTCTAAAATTAAATCATCGACTCCAAGAAAAATGGCGGATGTTCAAGGACAACAACAAAAACTGGACGAACATGTCGTTAATGTCTGACATTATAGCTGACTGTAAATTCAAAGTAGCGATTTAAAAGATTTGAACTGATACACTGATCACTTCCTGTATGTTTTGAAAGTTTTTGTGAGGTAATAAGACCAAAACTCGCAATTCAAATTGTGAAGTGTAAAAATGTCGGCTGGTTGATTTCGAATTTTATGATCACGACATGCCTCTTATGAGGCAGAACAAAACACAGGGATTTATGCATGGCATAAGGCTGCAATATAATGGAAGCCTTAGACTAAGATAAGCCAGATCGTTTTTGATATCATAGGCTCAAAGAATAATTCAGAAGATGCGTCACTAAATTGGAAAAATTCAAAAAAGAGACAACCTTTAAAAATGTTCCTTATACAAAATGGTACCTGCTTCCCTGTGACAGATTTTGCACTTATAGCTGAGATCTTCATCTTTCAATTTCTACTTGTTTGGTTTGAGTAAATGACATATGGACGCAGTTATTTCACTTTTAATACGGCAAATATTTTTGTCTTGATCCGGGCTCTTGTGTGTCCAAATATCATTTTAATGCTGACATCACATTTCTGGAATCACGGGAGCACCATTCAGATTTGGACAGACAAGAGCCCGAAGATAAAACATCACTATTTTTGCCTCTTATCAACACAGGATTGCTTGAATACCATTGATTAGTGATCAGAAAGGTAAAGAATAACAAGACGCTTCGAATGAGGTATGATTTGTCTCATATTCTTCAGAAATGGCTGCAGCCTGCACAATTGTCATTTTTAAAAATTCGAAATTTTCTCGGTGTCTCACCAGGAGGAATATTTATTGAGCTACTGATCCTACTACCCAATTGTAATCTAAAGTCAAGAAATTCGAATGATAAACATAATGAAATGATGTTATAGGGGAGATCCGTATAACTTCAATGTATGGTGTTACTTCATCATGGGGCTACTTTGACCATGGGGTTATTTCGAGCATTGCCGATAATTCAAATTTTGGGGTTGACCATTTTGGATTAAGATCTCAAAAAACAAACATGGTGGACAACATAAATCAGAAATATAAGCCAATGTCAAAATAGCCCATGACAAAAATGAAATGACAAAATAGCCCCATACATCAAAGTTCGACGGATCTCCCCTGTAACCACGTATCTACTTACCAGTATGTTCTATGTCCTCTCTTGTTGTAGAAGGTGGTCATTTTGAAAAATGGCTGCCATGTTTGCTGTATACTTTGTTTGTAAAAATGCCACCCATGGCTGTTCGATGTGATTTGCTACGCTTTGGCGTTGCTGTTGTCTAGTTATTGTTGGCTCACACAGTGAGCCTATGGGATCGACCAGGCGTCCGTCCGTTGGTCCTTCCGTCTGTCCGTCCTTCAACATTAGCCGCACAAATTAAAACTGCTATTCGGATGAGTCATATCCACATTCATTTTATGCATATCCATAATGCCTATTTGGCCTATAATCGCCATTTCCCAAGTTCGCACAGTTCCGAGAAATTGCTGATTTCGACGTCAAAAAGTCAAATTTTCTGTAAATACTAGAACCTTCAAATAACTTATATTTGATCATTTCTTGCAAAGAATTACATCATTACTAGATTTAAGCATTCCCTACATATTGCTCAATATATGTCAGCATCAAATTTTTACCGATTTTGAGATATTTGACGTAAAAAAACAATAAAAATAAGTTATTTTTAAACTAGCTTCAATTTGACCAAATTTTTTCGAAAAATCATCTACAAGTTGCCAGGAGTTAAAATCTGACATTAGTTTTAGGATTTGACCTTTACTTGACCTTCAGTGACCTTCGAAAGGTAAAAAACTGATTTTTCAAATTGATTTTTGGATGTAAATTTTGGTCAGCTTAATCACAGAAGACCTTTCTGAGCTCTGAATAAGTAGAATTTTCAAGGTCAAAGGTCATCAAACTAGGTAACACAACTGTGCTATCTAAGTTTCTCAAAGTTCGAGACTACAAATCCAAATCAATATTTTTGTTTGAAAGTCAGGATATACACCTCAAGGTTCCAAACTGTGTGAGCACCATTATCCCATCGAACGAAGTTCGGAGGGATATAGGGAACGCCTCCGTCCGTCCGTACGTACGTACATACGTCCGTCCAGGCAATAACTCAAATACCGTTGGCCCGATTTTGTTCATATTTTATACACATATACCCTATGGGAGTAGAAGTTCTGCTCGAAAGCCAATTTTCAAAATGGCCACTCATTTCAAAATGGCGGCCATTTTAGTGCCGATTTTACAGTAATTTATGTGCAATATGTAAAACTGTAATAGCAATATGTTTTAAATGTAAAAAATTATAAAGGACATTAATAAAGCTACAAATGTAGATATTAAAAAAGCACATGGCAGCCATCTTGAAAAATGGCGGCCTTTACTCGTTATTTTACGATTTTTGCTGTAACTCGAAAAGTAGTGGAGCGATTTTGTTCATATTTAGTATGTGAATACTATAAACATTGCACACTGTCTAAAGACACTTTTGGTAGAAGGTGGCCATTTTGAAAAATGGCCGCCATTTTAACGTATTTTACTATAACTCAAAAAGTAGTGGAGCGATTTTATTTATATTTGGTATGTGAATACTAAAAGCATGGCACACTGTCTAATGACACTTTTGGTAGAAGGTGGCCATTTTGAAAAATGGCCCCATTTTAACATATTTTTTTTACTATAACTTGAAAAGTAGTTCAGCGATTTTGTTCATATTTGGTATGTCTCATATTTTATATGTGAATACTTTAAGCATGGCATACTGTCTAATGACACTTTGGGTAGCAGGCAGCCATTTTGAAAAATGGCCACCATTTTTACGTTTTTTACTATAACTTGAAAAGTAGTGAAGCGATTCTGTTCATATTTGATATGTGAATACTCATTAGCCTTGCACACTGTCTCATGACACTTCGGATAGTAGGCGGCCATTTTAAAAAATGGCTGTAATTTTTACATTTTTTACTATAACTCGAAAAGTAGTGGAGCGATTTTGTTCATATTTGATATGTGAATACTCTAAGCATGGCACATTGTCTAATAAAACTTTGGGGAGTAGTCTGCCATTTTGAAAAATGGCCACCATTTTTATGTGTGTTATTTTACAAGTACATGTGTGCGATTTTTCAAAAAATTTATAGGTTGCTACTTAAAAGCATATTATTTCTTCTGATGACAACTTGGCTAGTGAGCAATTATTTTGAAAATGGTGGCCTTTCTGGTGTGTTGTTTTATGATATTTGCTATAGGCCTATATTTCGTTTGTAAAAATGCCAGCCATTTCTGTTCGATTGGATTCGCTACGCTTTGGCGTTGCCGTTGTTCTGGTTTTGTTTGTCATCCTATATCTGGTATCTAACCTAGGTTTGTCTTTCTTTTCCTCAATATGGGAAAACAATTTGAATTCAAGATAGAATTCAGGATGGAAATGGTCTGGCAAGGAATGTCCTTTTAACCACACAAGGTTAAAAACAAGAGTTTCTCTGAAGAGAGTATTGAAGTATAAGGCTTAATGGTGCACAATGCAGGACATGTTTTCACTCAGTCTTTCTGAAATACTCAAATTCTAATTTGAAAGCCCATGAGCTGATGTAGGATCTTCTTGGAAAAGATGTTCACTATGGAGCGATGGGATGGGAGTTCACGAATTCATGTTTTTGTGTTTTGTTTTAAGTCCTAGAAAGATGGAAGTCATGCAGTGTATCAAGAGTGTAGTTGCAGCAGCCAATCACTATGGGCGCAACAAAAATGACATCAATTTAATAAACTTACAACGCCAGCTTGACGTGAGTATAATGTTGAATTCAGACTTGACAATAAGGTGAATGTATGATATTCACAGATATAAATGTAATGAAAATTTAAATGTATTGAGTTTAAAAGCAGTTTTTGATTCAGAGAAAGAGGCTTATTTTGTTTTGTGAATATGTACATGATTGTTTGTGATTGATAAACTGTTTAAAAATAAAGATAAGGTGAATTTAACCTTGTTTTACAGTTGTTTACATTTGAAGTTGACTTATCTCCATTTTGTATATTACAATGTACATAAGGGCTTCATGTGAGCATACTATAATATCTAGCTTCGAATTAACCATGTTCTTTAAAATGTCAAAATGAAATCACAAAATTGTTTTCTCAAATTTATTTTATCTAAACAGATCTCAATTAAGGTGTGTACACATTTGGAATTTTTTATGCAATCCTCATTTGAGTCATTTTCATATTTTCAGGAACATATAACTCATTCCATATATGGTCTGCACCTTTTAGTTTCGCACAAAGCGTTCATATGTGTGTACTAAGAAAAGAGTGAAGAGAATAATGTTTTGAAGAAATGTTTAAAAATGAGAAAATTCAGTGACCAACCGTGTAAAGGTACAAAATAAGTAGGTGACCAAATTTTCTCATTTTTATACATCTCATAAAAATATTATTCTCTTCATTTTTTTGTTGTTGTGTACATGTATATCAATTATCATTCACTATTTGTGCAAAACTGAAATATGTAGGCTGAACATAGAAAAGAACAAATAACATGAATTTGAACTTGATTTAATTAAAATAATAATTCATGCTTATTCTGCATGTAATATTTCTTTTACAAACCAGAATTACATAACATTTATGGAAAAACATATCATTAATAAAAAGATCAGAATTACAGAAAAATAAAATGCGTGCATCATAATATTGTAATTCACCCATGTTAAACACCAATAGAGGTCACCTCACTGGGGGGTATCGTGATGCAACAACACCGTGTTGTTGCATCAAGATGGCCAGACTTCCGGTGATCGATTTTCGTACGATGTTTTGTTTTCCCAATTTACACTCATTTCTAGGACGAGTTGCTCAATAATCATACACATGCAGTTAGCACATGATCTATATTTTAAAAAACGGTCATTGGTATACATGTAGCATCATCAAGAAGCGATAAATTCGTGGTTTTAATTCCTCACTATTGATGCAACAACACCACTCTGTTTCTTATCGATGATGCAACAACACCAATGTGCTGATGCAAAAACGCCAATATAATGTATCATTGAACAACAAGAGAAAATGTTTTATGTTCTGTTTACAGGTGTAGGTCGGGACATGAATAAAACGCGTGAGTCAGTGGTCCATGAACGAAACGTATTTTGTTTGGTTTCTTTGTCTATATCAAAGTTAAAAGGATATACATGGCAAACTAAATAAAGTACAGAATCCTCGGGAGGCAATCTCATTGATATTGTATCTGAAAAATAAAGATTATACATTTTCTAAATTAAATGCCCTTGATTTACCGTATGAAAATTGCTTACAAATAACTAATATAATTTTGGAAAGACAACAGATATCAGTCATTTTGTGTTGTTAGTACCTCAATTGAAATACTCAATTCTGATTGGTTGATGAGCGGGCAACAAAATGTATTGTTAGTACCTCAACTCAAATACTCGATTCTGATTGGGTGATTAGCGGTCAAAATTATGTACTGTTGACCGCTACTAGGTACTGTTGACCGCTACTTCTGAAAAAAAGTTTCATGACGTCACAAAAAAACATGGAAGACGGACATTTTGTAAATGTTGATGAAAATGACTTTACTAGGCGACAAGTATAGCAAAAATACAAATAGAAACTTAAAATTAACATTAATTCACTAACGAGTACGCCGTGATGTGCCAAATACAGAGTTAAGCTTCTTGCACTGTCTCCATATTTTCTAAAAAAATATTGCTAACGTGGTACGGAGAAAAGGTTGTGAAATGAAGCCATGCCGATTGATGATCGTCGTCTATATGTGTATTATTAGTTTACTCGGACTAACATAACAATTGTAGACCTCCATTCGATCAACCGTCAAAATCATATACCTCGACTGTAAACCTTGAAACTACTGTTGACCTCGACCTTCGGTCTCTGTCAACAGTATTTTTTCGGTTTAGAGTCTCGGTATACAATTTTGCCGGTTGGCCTCTGGGGAGGTCAACAATTGTAAACTGTTGACCACTACTAGGTACTGTTGACCCCTATTTTTGAAAAATTGTTTTTTTAATGTTGAAATTTTTTTAATTTTGAAAAAATAAGTTGTGTAAAAAATTACAAGTATTCGACGGTTTAGTATGTTCACGTGATATTCGATTATATATTCGTCCAATTATTATATTATTTGGACTAACAGAACAATTGTTAACCTCTCTTTTCGGTCAACTGGCAAAAGTGTCCTCGACATCTGGTCTTGATCAACAGTACTTTCAACGTTTACAGTATCGGTATACAATTTTGCCAGTTGACCTCAAGAGGGGTCTACAATTGTATATTGTATATCCTTTGTTATCCCACCCAAAGTATGATGTCATATATCAAGTTGAAGAGTTGTATACGCTGCTCAGGAGTTTACGCTATCCAGGAGTTGTACATCGTTCTCAAGAGTTGTATAGGATGAGTGTTGGTTTAATGATATCGCAGTTATACAATGCTATTATATAAAAGTTATTTACTGAGAGGGACTCAATATTGGTTTTATTTCGAGAGACAATATTATATTTCCCGAGGGCCCGGGATATCTGGGATAACTGTACCCCTATCAATTTACCTTTTTGGGCCCTAAATCTTATCACTTTTGTTTACCTTTTTACTCAGTCGGAGAGAAGGAATCCAAAGAGAGCAATAATTCTACATGTGCGTCTTGCAAGATTTCCATTAAACGTGTAACTAAACGGCTTCTCTAATAAAGTCAATTAGACGTTTTTACACGTTGGCTCTCCAAATTGTAGGAAATAAAGAATCATGTCATATTATATCATAGATGAAGCAATTTTCCCATCAACATCAACTCACGAATGTCACAGTTAAACTGTTTTTAGTTATAATTTGATAAACAGTGGTAACGTACATCTACTAGTTTATCACTGTTCCACAGATGGATGACAGATAACATCATGATAATATCCAATAGCTCATCATGTTTACCGAGAACGAAAGATGTTTGTCCACCATTTTGAATGATACTAACTGGAGTCAGGGTCATCAAGCTATGGAACAGTGGTTTATGAAAATAGATTGGGTTACTAAAGCTTGCCATGTTAAAGGCGATTGAACTATGTTATAGAATAACGTCCAATACATTATAATATGTAAAAGTATAAATTTTTGAAAATACATATAAAGGATCTTCGCCCGCAGGACGTGTATTTTGAATGCCTTGAGAAGAACGCAAATATGGGTAGGCTAATTTGTAACGGTATTGCAATAGTAGCATTTAAAAATCTGTTCCTCTCGAGATTTATGGTCTTCTGAAATTATACTATTAATTGGTGTTGCTGCATCATTGCTCAAATCTAGAGGAGTGTTGTTGCATCTTCGGTTTGGTGTTGTTGCATCAATAGTGAGGAACTAAAACCGTGAACTTATTGCTTCTTGGTGATGGTACATGTATACTAATGACAGTTTCTTTAAATATAGATCGTGCGCTAACTGCACGTGTATGGTTATTGAGCAACTCGTCCTAGAAATGGGTTTAATTGGGGAAACAAAATATCGTACGAAAATCTATCACCGGAAGTCTGGCCATCTTGATGCAACAACACGGTGTTGTTGCATCACGATACTCCCCAGTGACCTGGAGTCATACTATATTTCTTTTCTATAGGTACTGATCAGTGTTACAGCAGATAGCTCCAACTTGAGGCATTTAGAACACAAGGACTTATTGCCCATGGAATGCCTGGTCTCATTAGTAAACTCACTGAATGCTATATTTCTTTTCTATAGGTACCGATCAGTGTTACAGCAGATAGCTCCAACTTGAGGCATTTAGAACATAAGGACTTATTGCCCATGGAATGCCTGGTCTCATTAGTAAACTCACTGAATGCTATATTTCTTTTCTATAGGTACTGATCAGCATTACAGCAGATAGCTCCAACTTGAGGCATTTAGAACATAAGGACTTAATGCCCATGGAATGCCTGGTCTCATTAGTAAACTCACTGAATGCTATATTTCTTTTCTATAGGTACCGATCAGTGTTACAGCAGATAGCTCCAACTTGAGGCATTTAGAACATAAGGACTTATTGCCCATGGAATGCCTGGCTTCATTAGTAAACTCACTGAATGCTATATTTCTTTTCTATAGGTACCGATCAGTGTTACAGCAGATAGCTCCAACTTGAGGCATTTAGAACATAAGGACTTATTGCCCAAGGAATGCCTGGCCTCATTAGTTAAAGTGGGAATATCGATTGCCGAGTCGTATCCAATGATCCTGGGCCTATCGTAAAATGAAAGCTTTGAATATGTTGTTGCCTTTAAAAATGTATCTATTTTTCATGTATGCAACTAGAATTTGTGCAAATACCTTATAACGATCGATAATGGCAAAGGAAAATCCTCTAATTCTTCGTCATAATTTCTCCTTCGACGTCCGCCATTTTTTATTAAACCGGAAGTTTGTTCTCTGACGTCGGCGCAATATTTTTTCACTTTTATTTCAGATTACGCTTCGGATTCAACATTTAATGCTTTCTAATATTAATTAACTGTTTTCTATCAGAAAGATTTCATAAAAAGACTCACACTATCAGAGATTTTATCGATTCGAGCAGCCAGAAAAATTTGTTTCAATTTCACCCGCTAGGTGTTTCAACGTCGACTTGGAAAGAATTTGAAAAATCTATGAGTAGGATTCCTTGTATGGAATTGTAGATTCTAAACGATTTGCCAGTTCTACTGGTTGATGAATATTGCCATATGCATACATTTTTATAAAATAGGAATAAGGAAGAAGATGTTGGACCAAACTTCACCCTGATAGCTCAGAAAAGGTAAAATTTCTCCATTTTTCTCTCCACAGACCTTAGAGCCACTTTAACTCACTAAATGCTATATTTCTTTTCTACAGGTTCTGATCAGTGTTACAGCAGATAGCTCCAACTTGAGGCATTTAGAACATAAAGACTTATTGCCCATGGAATGCCTGGCCTCATTAGTTAACTCACTGAATTCTATATTTCTTTTCTATAGGTACTGATCAGTGTTACAGCAGATAGCTCCAACTTGAGGCATTTAGAACATAAAGACTTATTGCCCATGGAATGCCTGGCTTCATTAGTAATCTCACTGAATGCTATATTTCTTTTCTATAGGTACTGATCAGTGTTACAGCAGATAGCTATAACTTGAGGCATTTAGAACATAAAGACTTATTGCCCATGGAATGCCTGGCTTCATTAGTAAACTCACTGAATGCTATATTTCTTTTCTATAGGTACTGATCAGTGTTACAGCAGATAGCTCCAACTTGAGGCATTTAGAATAGGGGTCAAACGGTTAAACGCGGTACGCGGTTACCGCGGTTAATGATGCTAGGACGGTATTTTCGGTTCATAAATATGAGATTCGGTTCATCCACGGTTCGAGGAAAGATTGAAAAATAAAATTTTTTAATCTTCAATATTCTCTCTTTCGTTCGACATGAACTTATTCTTCATGAATATATTCCTTAAAAACATGTTCATAGCAATAGAAAACATTCAATTCCTACCTTAGATGTGAAACAGATCGCTCACACATCGATAGACAAGTAATTGTTTACATTTTTGTGACATTTAAATAGACCGGAAGTTGGTCTCGCCAGATTACGCTATTCATAGTATAATTAATTTTGCTTCGTGGAGGTGTTTTGTCTGTTATAATAAGTTTGTTTTTAATCAATATTATTTAAAAAATACTACAATTACAGAAATTATAACATTACTAATGTCTTTGTTAAAAACTTGAAACATATTTGTGTTTAAATCTCCCGCACAATCGCAGCGCCATCTGTGCTGATTCAGCATGACAGCTTTGACAATTATTGAAATACAAAAGCAACGTTTGGAATGGGTAATCAGAGGACAATGTATCAATATGCAGAATCTGTAGGGAGATCATAAAGTATCTTCACGGTGAGAAAAATATTTTCTTAGGCTAAATTTTTTCCTCAAGTTAAGTTAAGACATAGGTCTGGGAAAATGTATAATAAAAAAGATGAGTTGAATACATCAAGTAAAGAGATCTCTTTACTTGGTGTATTCGACTCGATCTTTATATGCATGTTCCGGGGCTATGTTACTGCTTGTGCTACATGTAGATCTCAGCTCTTAATACAATCAAGGACAGAAAAATCTAAAGTTTAAAATTTAAAGTTGGCCATTAGGCCAATAAACTTTGCTTTGTCAAGTCAATTTAATAAAAAAGGATAGTGGGACCAGGATAGAAAGTGGCCAACATGGGCAAGGCTAGATAGAAAGCTAAAACCTGTTTCTTTATGAGCTGTCTTTACTATTTTATAAGGAAATATTACCATTTTACGAGAACCGTGAAAGAACCGAACCGTGAACCTAAAAACCGTGACCGAACCGAACCGTTGGAATTTTGAACCGTTTGACCCCTAATTTAGAACATAAAGACTTATTGCCCATGGAATGCCTGGCTTCATTAGTAAACTCACTGAATGCTATATTTCTTTTCTATAGGTACTGATCAGTGTTACAGCAGATAGCTCCAACTTAAGGCATTTAGAACATAAGGACTTATTGCCCATGGAATGCCTGGCCTCATTAGTAAACTCACTGAATTCTATATTTCTTTTCTATAGGTTCTGATCAGTGTTACAGCAGATAGCTCCAACTTAAGGCATTTAGAACATAAGGACTTATTGCCCATGGAATGCCTGGCCTCATTAGTAAACTCACTAAATGACACAACACACAGTGGAGAAGCCTCAACCTTAGCCCAAAAAATCATGCTTCTCCTGACAAATTTTGGTAAGCTTTAATTTCTTTAATTCCTTCACCAAGCATCCAGTGGAGGTGTCACTGATCTCCCAGCATCCATTGTACCTATTTGAGATTATAGCGTATTGGTACAAGCCTGATAATATTTTTGCACCCTCTTGAAAATTAGCATAAGCATGAAGGCATTTTTGGACAGTTTGGTCCCAAATGAGAATATGAAAGTTTTGCAAAATGACAAGTGGTTGAACATTCTTTTCTGAAAATGTCGAAGTAGCTTGGAAATGTCCTCCCCTTGTAAGTAATATAACAAGTTCCCAATTGAATAAAGTACCTGTGTGAGTACTTGTGCCTTTTCAGTTCAGTAGGACAATAACTTATTAGTAGTTCACTGTATTGATTGATACATCAAAATGGCTTTCTAAAGGTTATAGCATATCCAACAATTTGTGATATCTGAAGGTTATACATTTTTATATCACCATTAGAAGTGGTGACATATTTTTATGGTCTCCAACTTTTTTGTGGACATTGCTCGATGTTCAGCAGTTGGTGTTAGGTGGGTTGCTCGCCTTCAGTGTTTGGCATCTGTAACAAATGGCAGGTGGTGATATCTTGAATGTTAATGTCTTTTAATTTGATTTTTAGCACAGAAGAATGAGATCCGACACACCCTGTACCACACGCTACACATTACCCCTCTGCTGGCAACCCTTCTACAACAGAATGATAATGAACCTACAATAGTACAGGTTTGTGTTCTTTTGCTAGAAGAAGCAAATCACTTGTTGTAATAAGGAATTACAATAAAAAATCAATGTTAATGTCTACCAAAGTATGAAATTAACTTGAATTTGATTTGACCCTAAAACCCCTGATATGTTTGATTTGACCCTCAAACCCCTGATTTGACTTTTTACCCCTGGTATGATTTGACCCTAAAATTCTTGATTTGATTTGACCCTCAAACCCCTGATTTGATTTGACCCTTAAACCCCTGATTTGATTTGACCCTTAAACCCCTAATTTTCCTTAAACCCCTAATTTGATTTGACCCTAAAACATGCGTGTGCTTTTAAGGAAATCTGATGCTGGAATGTTGAAACACTCTAACTCCAGTTTGTAATTAGTTTGAACTAAAGGAGAGGCCCAAAACTATCATTTTTTGTTATAGTTGCAGTGCTATATGTAATTGAATTTTTCTATAAAATGTGGGATATTCATTACTGTTTGTCTTGTTTTTCAAGATCAGTACTGAAGTTCAAGATTTAGACCAAATCAAATCTGGAATAATTAATCTGACCTTGATCTCAACTTTCAATTTGACTAATGTTTCTCCTGTTCCTTTTTTCCAGTGTGCTGAACTGCTTCAGAGGGTGACATATGGAGAAAAGGTTCCAATGAAAGAGAGATACACAGAAGATCTACTACAGTTCCTTGTTGAAAATATGTAGGTTGTTCATAAAACAAAAGTGAAAGTTGAATGACATAGGGGATTTAAATTTTATTATGTCACCACCAGAAGTGATGACATATTGTTAAAGTCTCAAACTTAATGAACAGTGTTTGTGGCTGGTGGATGGTGTTGGGCAGTCAATGTCTGTAACAAATGGCAGGTGGTGACATCTTACATGTTAATGCCTTGTTTAAGATTGTAGACTGTCACTTGTTTAAATGCAAATTTTATGTACAGTATATCTTCACATTTCTGAGCCTGACTGGCTATATTTAGTACTGGAATCAACTAAACGTGTTCACATTAAGTAGATATTTTAAATACTTTTAAAGTGTTCACATTGTAATGTATTCACTTTAGAGAGCCTTTCAAATACACATGGTTTGATTCAATGAATTGATTCATGCAGTGATTTTAATATGATTCAACTATGAGTTAAAGATTTATTCTCAAATTTTTGTGTTGGGTATTACATATCAATGTTCTCGATTTACTTTTTCAGTTTAGCAGCAGAAAATGATTTAACCTCGCCTTGTTTGGGGTCGCTTGCAAACTTGTGTCGGAACAACTACGCAGTTCAAACACATATAAAACATATGGTAGGTATATCAAATTATTAATTGATTTATAATGTATATTTTACTCCTTACTTTATATTGTTTTAAGAGCTATGTACTTTGTCATGTACATTATTTATTTTATGCCATAATCACTGTGATATTAGATGTATATAGCTCTAGCGTAGCCAGTATGAATCAGACGAGGCCTTGTTGCTTTTTAACATCTTTCGAGAAATATTCCTCTACTAGCAATGACGGTTTGTAAATTAATTGTATAACTTTTATTAATTTTCAATCTTAATCATCAATTTTTGATTCGATCGTGAACAATCTCATTACTTAAGGGTTATCATTATCCCAACGAACGAAGTTCGGTAGGGATATAGTGAAGCCCTCCGTCCGTCCGTCAGTCCGTCAGTCCGTCCGTCCGTCTGTCCGTCCGGAAGATAACTCAAATATTAGTTGACGGATTTTCTTAATATTTGGTGGAAAGATGTATATTGATGAATAGTTTTACGCAAAAAAAAAAAATTTCAAGATGGCCGCCGCTTTAAAAATGACGGGACTTTTTTGCAAAAATCATAAATTTTTCATTCTAAACCAAAGTAATTAATATTATTGTTTGAAATTTTGGTAGTATATTTGCAACATCTATCTATTTCACATATATTCCGTGTTTTTCATCCTGACCCCCAGGGGCCGTGTATGGGGGGTCCCGAGACTGCGGCTAATTGTAACCCTGTCGGTTACAATTGGCCGCAATGCGGCTAATTGTAACCCGACTGTGGATATTGCGGCCAATTGTAACCCAATCACTAATTGTAACCTAAAGCGGTTAATTGTAATCCAAATTTGGAAAATTTAATTTTATGTCCTAAATACAATTAAATTGGTATTTATTTAGTTTTAGAATCTGTTAATCTTACAATTGAGTCAGATGTCCAGAAATAAGCCCTTTATCCGTTCATCTTTTCAGAAAAGCAACAAACTTGGTATATTTGTAGAAACACTTCATCTGAGTGAAAAATGATTTCAGTGTAAGCGATTTTGGATAGTCTTTGTTGATTTTTTAGCCCCTGACCCCTTCACCTATCATACATGTGGGGGGTACATTATAAACACTAATTAAAAATGATTTTAAAGTAATTTTCTTTAAATGACTTCATTTGGTGATTGCTTTGAGTCTTGAAATTGTGTAAAACCCATTTTGAAAGTGGTGTTTAGAGGGAAAACACATGTTAACTAAATCATCTAGCAATAATTCATGGTTTAAAGGGCCAGATATGTGACATCCAGTACTGTATTTCAAGAATTTGGTGACTTGAAGTCTTCATTGTGATAGAGATTTGGGTGTTTATCACAGACAAAATATATAGCCAAGTTACCGTCATGTATTTTTGATAAAAAAGTGTTGAAATTTCAATTTTTAGCTCTTATGGCTCAGGGGTAACCTTATTTAACCTTAATAATTTTTAAGATATGCAATGTATGCATCTCATATGAGCTCAGAATGGTATATAACATCTTGTTTTGTCATATCATTCCTAATTGGATGTAAAAAATGATTGTAAATTTTAAAAGAATTAAATTTACATTTTCGCTTCTGAAGGGCCAGGGGTTACAATATTTTACCTTAGTAATTTTTAAGATAATGTAATATATGCATCTCATATGAGCTCAAGATGGTGCACATAGTCTTGTGATTGGAGATTGTGATTTAAGACAGAGAATTAAAATTTTAAATTTGGATTACAATTTAACCGCTTTAGATTCCAATCAGTGATTGTGTTACAATTGACCGCAATATCCACAGTGGGGCTATAATGGACCGTGCCATAGACTTGAAATATGGGATCAGACCATCATAAGATGATTTTGAATCGGGGTTTCATATTTGAATCAGCTTCGCATAACCGTCCATCAATTAATTACGTTACCGCAAATTCAAAATATATTTATGGCTTAAGTTGAACGTATAAGGTGGTTTCCAATACTCAATTGGCTTTGTATGATCATATGTAGGTTACATCTATATACCCCAAGGTTTTTAGGCAATGAAGACCATGCCCTAATAACAAAAATTAACAAATTACTAAATTTTGTGTAGTTTTGAATTTCAAACTCGACAGTTTTTCTCTTATTTCATGTTATCCCCAGGCATCAATTTGCAAAGACTACGTTCAAAATATACATTACTGAATGCATCACCGAATGCAATGCTTACATAAATCATTCATCCTTTCATTGATACACAGTAGTAGAAAATAATGCACCAACCTTAGTTTTCTCTTCCATCGCGGCCATTTTATTGGATAAATCGGTGAACGTAGCCGTCCAACCTCGTTTTCAGAGGTGGCGTAACCGTCATGCTATAACACCGTGATTATACTCCAGTAAAACCGTTGTAAATATTCACAAATAAATGAAAAATTGCAATACAGAGTAAACCTAGTGTTATCAATAGCCATTTGTAAGTAAAACAATATATCAAAAATCTAGAAAAATCTAACTTGTGGAAAACCTTAAAATCACCATGTATACTCCCTGGGGTAATTTTATGAGGGGGTACTAGGATAAACATTAATAATTTCTGTTATATAACTCCAATCACAATAAGGCTGGTTTAATATAATAAGGTTTTATTTATTTGGTTTATTAATATGGTAGAGCCTGAGACCATAAAATAGTTCAGATATAAAAGCCTAAGTTGGTCCAGCCTCCATAGTATATAGATGGTACAGCCTTCAGAGTATATGACAAGTGCAGTCTCAAGAATCTAATATGGTACAGCCTCTAGAGTGTAATACGTATTCACCATCCAAAGTCAAAGATGATACAACATTCAGAATCTCTGATTGCTATAGCATTCAGAGCCTAGGATGGGTACAGCCTCTATGAGTCGAAGATGGTACAGCCTCCAGACCCTTAGATGGTACAGCCTCCAGATATAACATAGGATCAGTTTCCAGAGTCTATGATGGTACAGCATTCAGAGGCTATGATTGCTATAGCATTCAGAGCCTAAGATAGGTACAGCCTCTTCACTAGTCTAAGATGGTACAGCTTCCAGATATAACATTGGATCAGTCTCCAGAGTCTAAGATGATACAACCTTCAGATCCTATGATTGCTCTAGCATTCAGAGCCTAAGATAAGTACAGCCTCCACGAGTCTAAGATGATACAGCCTCCAGACCCTTAGATGGTACAGCCTCCAGTTATAACATGGGATCAGTTTCCAGAGTCTAAGATGGTACAGCCTTCAGAGTGTAAAATGGTATAGTCTATGAGTGATATTAACAATCATAGTCTAATATGGCTTCAGTCTCAAGAGTTTAATGGTCTACTTCTATGATGGCTACAACCTCCAATTCCAAGAGGCTAAGATGGCCCAGCCTCTATAATCTAAAATTAATTGATACAGCCTACATAGTCTCATATGGTACAACCTCCAGAGTATCATATGGACTCAGCCTCTAGAGTCAAAGATGGCACAGCCACCATAGTATATTATGAATTCAGCCTTCAGAGACCAATATGGTGTGACTTCAGAGTATAACATGGATTCAGCCTCTAGAGCCAAAGATAGGTACAGCCTCCAAGAGTCTAAGATGGTACAGCTTACAAGAGTCTGAGATGGTATAGCCTCCAAGAGTCTAAGATGGTATAGCCTCCAGAGTCTACAATTGGTATAGCCTCCAGAGTCTATGATGAGTTTTGGGAACAGCCTTCAAGAACCTTCACTAATAATCACCTTGTTTTTAAATGGAAAATTTAAGGAGGTACCTCAAAGAATTGTACATATTGTAACGAGGAAGATTCATTTGCACACTTTTTCATTTCATGCAAAAGAGTAAAGCTTTTATGGAATGAAGTAGAATGCAAATTAAATGCTAGATTTGGGCACAGACTTAGACCAGTACACAAACACATCTTATTCAAATATGAATGTAAAAAGGAAGAAGACTATATCAATTATATTATTGCTATTGCGAAAAATTGTGTAAGTTAGTACAAATATGGGGATCATCCCAATTTGTTGTGCTTGTTTGATCAAGATCACAATATTTTCTTTCTTTTTTAACTGCTCTAGGACCTGTGACATGGGTTTTCATGGTTATAGAACACTGAATATTAAAAGTTGATAACACATTGAATTTTATTTTGTGTATATATAATTATTAGAGCATCAGCCTGTGAGACAATGAGCCAGATTCATTAATGTTTACAATAGTTAGAGCACTTTTCATCTTACTTTATGATCACCTTGTACTGTATGCTATTGTTGTTTGGTAATATTTTAACAATATTTTTGTTTGTTTGCAGGAGTGAATATAACTGGATGCCCATCTTTTAACAAAAGGTGACAGTAAATTATGCAAAATGTGCTAGATGACTTTCAATGGGTGGCAATGTTGAACTGAAACACTATTTTAAATTGTTAATTCATATAAACTTTCAGAATAATGATGAAGTTAAATCTAAGTTAAAGGATTGTATTCCTGTTCAAAAACATGCCTTTCATACCAGTCATCAAACACATTATAATTGATCAATAAGTTACTTGCATGCAGCTTATGTTTTAATGTTTTTATAGATAAGCAACAAGGACTTTTTAAATAGGCTTTCTTGACTAAAAGCTATGAGGACATTGCATTTTGTGATCCATGATATCTTTCTCACACCACAATATTTTGTGAACATAAGTCTAGTGTTTAGACTGTCCAGATATTAACATTCTACTAGATCTAGCCTCATAACTTATAAAAATGAATGATTTAGTAGAAGTTCCTTTCATGGCAGTGAAAACAAGGTAACTTTTTGTATTAATTTTATATCATTTGTAACTTAAAAATTACAAATGTACTTACATAAGTTTACATAAGGCTTTAGTTACCAAGTTTCTGTTTACATATGTTAAATGTTAAAGTTCAGTTGTCTGTATCACCACTGATGACCATGGTGTATGGCTTTGTGTCAACAGGTAAGAACTGATGTTAAAAATGAATCAATGTTTTACTGATTCTGATTACATAGCAT